ATGTCTTCATATGTAAAATTACTTTAGTTTTCCTGTCAACAGTTCATCAGATATGATGAAATATAAGAAATCAATGGCATGCATGCAGCGTCATGCCTAGTTTATTACTTGAGAATAATAAAATATATGATGTTTTATTTTGTTTAAGTATGTATTTTGATTTATAAGATTTACTTATTTTAACATTACAATAATTTTAAAAACAAAATGTAATTTGAAACATCATAAGACCTTTACTATAGTTTTGTTTTCCAAATACAAACTGTAAATATGTAATATTCTTATATATGGCTTCAAATAAATAATTTATCAAAAAAAAGGTGGTCCTTAAAATAGAAAAAAAATGGTGGTCTGCATTTGCCTCTTTTAATACATGCAAAGTACGGTTCTGCATAAGGGAGAGAATAGAGAACTCTGTGCAACGTAGTATCTAAGCATCATATATAAACAATAAAATAATTAAAAAATAGAAAAATTAAGAAAGTGGTAAGAGATGGGTCTTAAACACGAGCCACAAAAACAAACTCTTAAAAATTTCTTTCCATTCATCAAGTTATAAGTGGTTTGAGTTTAATTTTAACATTAAAAATTAATTAATTATTTTGTTTATATTTTAATAATAATATTTAATGTTTTAGATATCATTTTTGAGTTTCTATATGTTGAGGATGGTCTAACAAAAGAACATACCAGTATCAGTATTACAGAGATGGTGATTGAAATTTTTAAAATATTTTATTATTAAAAATTTGTAAAACCGTTTCTATCGATTCTTATGTAAGAACCGATTCTAATACCATATCATTATTCAAGAAACTCAAATAAATCTCTCCAATATTAATGCTTTAACGCTGACAATGCCATATTCACTAATTGTTACTGTTTTACTCATGTCTTAATCTATTCAAACCCTTATATTTACCATCTTCATTATTTCCTTTTACTTATTTATCCTTTCATTATATTATTTTGTATAAATATATTACTTTGTAAAGAAGTTTAAAAAAAAAAAAAATATATATATATATATATATATATATATATATATTATTTGAGATATTAACAAAAAAAGGTACTTTAAAGAGAGTGTTTACATAAAAAAGGTATTTTGGCCAACATAAGTACTTTTAATGTGGAAAAAGACTGTTATATCCTTTTTAATTTTTAATGTTTCACCTTCTTTCTCAATATTTCATCTTTTCTGAATAATATTTTACTGAACCAGCAAAAACCCTATAGTCATATTCAGATCTTTGTTCGCCGTCGTTAAGAACACAAATCTAGCAAATCAGTTGATTTCGTGTTCTTTCATTCTTGTACCAGTATTCGGAGTCTTTCGCTGCAGCGGATCTGTATAACATCGCACAGCAGGAGTTTGGTACTAGATTTGAAGATGAAAGCATCAGATCCCGGCAAATCAGGTAAGAAGAAGTTTATTTGTAGTCTGAATTAGAGGTTTTATTTACTTCAATTATTAAGTACTTAAAAAGGTTATTATAGCGAGTTGAAGAAATCTGATTGTTCTGTTCGTTGTCTATTTGATTCAGCTGCCATAGTTGAAGCAATTGAGGCGTCGGATGAAAAACTACCACCACAGTTGGTAACTGCATGGACAGTGTTGTTGGGTGACTACTTTAGTACATATCCACTATTGGTTATCCATCGACAAACGTCCACAGTTGGTTTATGTGTAGACAGTGCTGTCTTTCTGTTTGTAGAATTGTAATAATTGTATTAAGTCGTTCACAAGGTGTCATCCATATAGGAGTCTCCAAACGTCTTTGTACACGACCCCGTGTACCCTTATGTTTATGCATCCCACTGGTTTGCATTTCTGTTCTATTTGTAGAGATTAACCAAAGGTGTATAAGTGGGAGGTATTCTTTGGATGTAACTGTATGAACAATGCTTGTATTCCTGTTTGTAGTCTTATAATAATCTATCGGTGATTACTTTCGTACGCATCCACAGTTGGTTATCCACCAATAAACATCCATAATTGATAACCGCATGGATACTGTTGTCGCATAAAAACTTAAGTACGCATCCACAGTTGGTTATCCACCGACAAACGTCCACAGTTGGTTACTTATGGAAAGTGTTGTTTTTTGTTTGTAGATTGTAATAATTTATAGGTGTGCATACTTAAGTATGCATCCACAGTTGGTTATCTACGAACAGACATCTGTAAACAAATTTATTATGTCATCCATTAGGGGTCATCCATAAAGAAATTTAATAAGGCGCAATTACTTTCGAAGATGATTTTTGGAGAAACTCAATCTTTACTTACGTATCATCGGATAACATCCACAATATTAGGACCATGATTATGTAGGTTCCAACCCAATGGAGGGTAGGTTTATATTCCAAAACGAAGACGACTTATATGCAGACGTGTGGATGGATCATTATGTGGCTGTTCAGATACAGACATCCAAGGAAGGTGCAACAACGACGGTGCATCCATGGGTAAAATGTATGAACTTCAATGCTTCCAAAATGTAAGAACTTCAATGCTTCAGTATAAATTTGAATGGAAAAAATCATAGTTTTCTTGATTGTATGTATATGGAAATGCTGGAGATTAGCGAACTATAAAAATTCAAAAAATGTCATCTTTAAATGTTTAGTGTTTATCATAGACATTGATACCATATATGGTCATCTATATATTCTCATGTATTGATCTACTTTGAATAGCGAAATTGATTGCATCCACGAGCCTGTCCATCGAAGAGGTTCTATTTGAGAAATACGTTATATGTGCGGGGACATCAGCAATTTGTATATTGCACATAGCTGTAAAAACCAACATTGAAAACAAAATGTGATGGTGCTATAAACATCAATGGCCATGTGTACAATATATTGCTATCCACACATTCTCATCCATAGTTTACACAAATTATATTAGCGTGTGTACAATAAATTGCTATCCACACACTCTCATCTATAGTTTATACTCTGGCAAATGACCAAATTACCCTCATCTTCTACCTTACTTCTGCAACAGAAAACCTCGAATTTCCGCCGATTTGTTTTTTTTCCATCGTTATTGGCGTTTTTGTTCATTTTTCTTACGTTACCTAGTTATATCAGATCTACCATTTAATATATGATTTTGAGCTTACAATCGAGAAAAAAATTAATTTTCGAGTTTCTAGCCGATTTAAAGCAAATCAACATAGTTCATTGTCTGTCAATCTGATGCACGCTAGGTGAGCAATTAAATTCGAAAGAGAACGACTGTGTGTTCACCGTGGAAGGAGGTTGTTGATGGCGGCGTCTAGATCTTGTTGAAAAAAAAATCTCAGATGTGGATTGTGAAAGATTTTAACAGTTTTAGATGAGATAGTGTTTAAGGGTAAATTAGACAAATCTCATACAAAAAAACAAAGAAGAAACAAAGGAAAGTACCCCATTTGACCAAAGTACTCTTTTTTGTAAATATAGTTTATGAAAATACTCTATTCTGTAATATTCTCATATTATTTTGTACAAAATCATGGCAACTAAAATCAAAGAAAAGTGGTACCCAAATTTACCCAAAGGATCGAGACACTCACAATCTTTGTAGTTCGCTCAAATTTTGCAGGTCAAGCGCTATGATCCCGGTTAGCCCTCTTGATGGTAAGTCTTTGCATAAATGAGCATACCAAATTTCATGTTTAATAATTTACTAGTAGTTTCAGCTGTGAAACGTGATAGTGAGTGATCTTACAAAGAGATGATTCTTGGAGGAATAGACTGATTTGTATAGCTGCACTCTACACCTTTCCATTTAAGTAGCTCGGGGACGCAAGGATCTCCTTGCCAACTGATCATGTTTAATCCATAAGCGGCTTGGATGTTCTTCATAGTAAAGACTGGCATATAGGTCGAGGAGGCCAAATCTTGTGAAACATTTCTATTGTTTGGCAAAATAAAAGTTGGCGGAAACGCGATTCCTCTCCCATAAAGCAAGAAACAACTTTATAATTCATGGATTTCTAACTAAAATTCGATACCTAAGAAATTGATTAGCCCATACAAAATCCTAAAAGGGTACGTTACTTTATTCATAACATTCAACATTTGTTTATACCTCAACTAAGTGATCAATTGCATGGTTTGACCAAAATGTCTTCCCTAGTCAGGAAGAATGATTGTGATAAACTTATCACTATTGGACGTCTCCCTAAATATTTTAGTGTATTTTCCCAGCCTTATATTTAGTTTAGTTTTAAAAAATTTACAGTTTTAATTGGTATTCCGAGCAACCTTGAGGGTTTTTCTCATGAGTAATTTTAATAAAGCAATTTTAAAAATATTTGAGTATCTTTAAATGATTTTCTATTTTACATTTCTCATGAGCTATTAAAAGTTTATTTCCTTGTCTTAATTGGATATTTTTCCCTCTCGTTATAGAATTATGAATAAAACAAAAAACAATTCTGACGTACCATCACTTGGATATGTTTCTGAATATGGAAACTCCATGACCTTGTAAGCCTCTAGAGCGTTAAGCAATGGTGGAAGAGTCGATCTTCGAGTTCTAACCAGCTCCAACCGGCACAACGAACCCTTACATATCTTGGGATATGTGTTGAATAATGTATCAACTTGCAACTTCTTTGGACTATAAGCTGAATTAGTAATGTTTCCCTCCCACATAGTGTCAAATTCCCTAGTGTTGTTGGCTCGTAACTCTTGGATCTCGGCAAAGTGAAGGTAAATAAGATATTTGTCGCTGGGGTTTTCAGCATCCACGATGAATGATAATGGTTCACTGGTCTTTTCGGGTATTGCAGCTGCCATAGCTATAAGCTCCGGTACACCAAATGGATTGGATGAATTCACAACGACGGTGGTGTTTATTTCGTTTGTATTATACCAGAATCTTGCAGCCCATTTACGATCGTAGACATCATCAGGATACCTGGAACAATTAATCATTTAGTTGGCCATGCATATATTATCGAAATCTGTTGCTTTAACTCCAAGGCAAACTAAAAGCGCTAAATATTCGAACTGTTTGGCATATAAGAAAATTGCTCAGAGTTAAAATACCGTAAATCGCCACTGTTCTTATAGAACCACCGAGATACATGTTGCAAGGAACCTGTTTGTGTGGAATAAGAATCATTTCTTAGTGGACGTAGTTCCAAGGTTGATATAAATGGTGTTGTTGTCCCTGTCTTGACAAGACATATCTGCAATATGCTTGACCTTGCCATGTGAATGATCTCATTGTCAATTTGAAATCGCGCATACACCGTCGTCCACAAATTAGGACCAATATATATATCGAATCTGGGATATATATCCAGGCCATCATAATTTCCATATGCGAACCCAGCTCTAATTAGATAGTTGATTCCTTGCTTGACACTCAGGTTATAACAGTTCCGTATACCATCTGGAAAATATCTCAAAGCATTATATTGCTTGTAAGCATAAACCCAGTCTTGACCAACTCTAGCACCTTTTCCACTTTGGATGAAATCAGAGTCAGATGAGAAGTTTAGTCCAGTTAAAGGCTCGGTATATGGAGACTCATTAGTGGGTAACCCGCAGTCCAAGCTGATGAATCCTAGAAAATACATTAAAATAGATATCTGTGAATAAACATAGTTTGTCCTCTATTGGACCTAATGTTTGACGAAAAATCTAATGCTATATTGTCAGATTTAGAACTAACATCTCAAACCTACAAGACTAAGGAAAACGGCTAACAATATTCAAAAGATAGTTTGTCAATGTTTATGTATGAAAATAAAATATATAAAATTAATACAGATAATTAATAGGAATGATCATATCATCTATAGAGTTCATATACCTGACTGATCCTGAGCTTGGACAAGATGCAAAACGGACAGAGTCACAATGAATAGCGCCGCTGTTAGTCGGTGATGGCCGTCCATCTTCAATCTAACATACAAGGATTTTGAAACCAAAAAGGTCTGTCAGCTCTGCCTTTCTAACTGTAAGCTGCACGATGAAAACTTATAAAAGAAAATATATTCTATTTATTACCAAACAACGGCATTTCGAAAGAGTTGAATGTTGAAAATAATAAAATTGTACAGCTGGTGGTGAAAACATTATCTCATTCCTCAAAAAACTATTCAACGCGGAGACAAAGTCTCCAGAGGTGTAATACTAAACAAATCCATGTTGTGTGAGTGACTAGCCTACAACATAAGATACCTGAAAAAAAAAAAAAAAAAAAAAAACCTAAGACACGATATTAGAATATTGAGTTCTTGTAAGTGAAGTTAACGTTTGAACCAAATTTTCTTAAAATAAAGAGACCGAAAGATAACTACTCCTTTGCTTAGATCAAATTTTATTGAATTCTTGCGAAATTAACAACCCTTCAAGATTAATTTTGTTTATTTTCTAATTTGCCATGAATTTGTAAGTGAAATATTAGAAATAGAAGAATAAAGTTGGTATTTATAAAAAAAAAAACTTGAACAAAATAAAATGTTCTTTTAAATGGTCCCTATATTTTTATAGTTTTCCTTGAGAAAAATTTATGTTTGGTTTGATGTTATTTCGGATCATTTTCTGTAAATTATATAAATAAGTTGAAATTTTAACGTAGCACAAAATCATTAGCAAGTTAGCCGCGCGCATGCTCTAAAATAATATAATACTAACATCAAATAAAATAAAAGATATGTTCAGATATACTCGCCTAGTCTAGTACAAAAAGAAATCCATTAAAAATACATTCTACAAGCTGGCAGGGAAGATTTTCTAGGTCATTGTGATATTGTCGAGTATATTATTAGTATTTTCGCATTTACTCATTCTGTCATTTTTGGCAGCGTTGACATTTCTAGATGCTGACCAGATATGCATTTTCCCAACACCCGCAAGACGCATTGCTCCTTTACAAGGCTTGGAGTGTTATTATGTTCTTGATTTCTCAGGAAACTAGAAACTGAGTTAAAATGAAGAGTCTTCTTTTGCTGGCCATGATTGAGATCTTCTCCATTGTACACCTTGTTCAACCGCAAAACCAAGATGGTATTTGTCTTCATAATAGATTTATACCAAAAGAGATTGCATGAATCTTATTTCTTTTCTCCAATTGCTTTTGTGTTTTATCAGGATTCATAAGTTTGGCTTGTGGCATGCCCAATGATGAATCTCCTTATACTGATCCGGATAGTGGATTGGTTTCGCATCGGATTCAGCCCTCATCCAGACGGGAAAGAGTGGTCGAGTCGACAGAGCTTTCGACAAAGTCGACATAAAACCATATTTGACTTTGAGATACTTTCCAGAAGGACGACGGAACTGTTATGTTCTAAATGTCACGAGCGACATAACTTATCTCATCGCAGCCAACTTCTTATATGGAAACTATGATGGTCTTGACGCTTACCCAATCTTCGATTTACATCTTGGTCCTAATATGTGGGGTACTGTAGTTTCGAACGATACAACCTCAAGGCTAGAAATCATCCACATACCACGATCAAGTTCTTTGGAGATTTGTCTTGTTAAGACAGGAGATACAGTGCCACATATCAACCATAGAAATACGACCACTGCCAAATGATACTTATGGTCCTCGTCCTAGTTCCCTCGCCACCTCCTTCCGGAGGTTTTTTAACGCTTCAACTGACTACTCTATACGGTAACTCGACTTTGTCTTACTCTCTGTCTTGAAACATTCCCTAAGAGCTGCTTCGAACTAATAGTACACAGATCTTTACTTGTGTCTCATTTTGCCTTATTCTAGGGTTTTGATTTTGCATATAATAGAAATTTAAAAAGTTATAGTTCGAAATAAAATACCCTATAAAATTATGAGGTTAAACTTATAAATTATTGTTAATTGTTTTATTTTCATGCGACGTGTTAGAATTTCACACATTGAAAGTGGGGAGATAATTTAACACTAAAATTTAAAGAATATAGACCATCTCCAATTATTACCAATGGTATTAAAAAAAAATTCAGTTTGTTTAACGGTCCGAATAGGGACTTTTACCAACGCGACAGTGAAATTTCATCATCTCAAAACGACATGTTAGGAATCCACATCGAAAATGTGATGGTACCAAAAATAGTATAGTGTTAATTAACCTATTTAAGAGCTTTGGTTTTAAAACTTTTGTTATAAATAGTTCTCCAAGTGTCTGTAACGATATTATATCTTTAAATTGATTTAACAAGAATTTTTTTATAAATATTTTGTAAAAGTATTATTCTTTAAAACAGATAAATCAAAACATTGTTCTTGAGCTTCCCGGGAACTTCACAAGAACAACCCTCAGTTTTATGCTTTCGCTCCATAAAAGAAGAGGGTAATATTGGTAGAACTATATGAAAATAGTTAAATAGGTAAATGACTAATAATGGCTAATACTTCAGAACGAATGGCTTATCCTACTCGCTAAGAAGACTACAAACATGTATGAAGGATGATGTTAAGTCTTCCCGTGTTCAAATTCCAGAGGGTACAACCTCTAGGATTCCCTGTTCATGATCCAACCTTTTAGGATTTTAGAATTAACTACAGAATTTAAAATTTGTGACAAAATGTATGTTAACGCTTAAACCACTACAAATTAACACAATGCATCAAAATGTTTTTTTATAAGCTTACCAAAATGCATCATAAAAGTTTACTAATATACATCACAGAAGTAATTAAGTACGTTATAAACTAAACGGTACGTTATAAACTTGTAATTTTGCTATGTTTGCCAAGTAATTCTTAACTTAACTTTTTAAAGAAAACAAACCTTGTAGCCAAAGACAACCCATAATTTTTTATAAGTTACAATTAATATACAAGATTTTGCAGGTATCCTGATGAAGTCTACGATCGTCCTTGGTTTCCCTCCAATCGCTCAAACTTACGTATTTTAAACACCACCCTCGATATTAGCAATCCCGGAAACTATTCAACACCAAAGCCTGCTTTCATGACGGCGGCAACTCCGATAAACGACAGTTCGCCATTAGAATTCGCGTGGAGCTCCGTAACCCCAACAGCTACAGTTTATCTGTACCTTCACTTCGCCGAGATACAAGCTCTAGGAGCCAACGACACCAGAGAATTCCACATTTTCTTCAACGATGACTCCAATTATACAGCTTTTAGTCCTCCCAAGCTGGAGCAACGTACTATAACCTTTCCACCAGTACAATGCCCTGACGGTAAATGCAGATTACGTCTAGTAAGAACTAATAAATCAACTCTCCCACCTCTTATAAGCGCTCTGGAGAGTTACAGAAGCATTGTGTTCCCACTTGCGGAAACAGACCCAAGTGATGGTATCTTCACTTCTTTAGTTTCTACATAGCTTTACTTTAACTATATGACTCTTTCGTATACATCATCAAATTTCTATTTCAGTTGCGGCTATCAAGCATGTCAAAGATACATATAGGCTAAGTAAAATCAGTTGGCAAGGTGATCCGTGTGTCCCGCAAGATTTGTCATGGGAAAATCTAAAATGCGAATACAAAGAAATGCCGAGTCCGCCAAGAATCACGTCCTTGTAAGATTAGTAGATTACTAGAAACATGTAACAGTCTATTTGAATTTTTTTGTATCTGAGTGGATAATCTGACATTTCAAGTGATTTTATGATCCTATAATTAGGAACTTGTCATCAAATGGATTGATCGGGAGCATAGTGCCAAGTATACAAAATTTGACACAACTTCAACAACTGTGAGTATCTCCACTCTTGAATATAAACCATTATTATGTCATAGAAACATTAATAAAGCATTTTGAATTCATTCCTATAAATTCCAGGGACTTATATCTAATAACAAATTGACCGGAGAAGTGCCTACATATTTTGCTAATATGAAATCATTGACTGTCCTGTAAGTTTTTCAGAAATACAAATGAATATTTCTCTTATATTTTTCATTGGATGTATATAAGTTTTTGGGATAATTTTTGTCATAACCCATTTCACAATTTTATTAGGAAACATGATCTTTCCTAAAATGACTCATAAAAGTGGTATATTAGTTTGCTTTCACTCTGCTGTTAGTGTACTAGTAATTTGCAATTAGTCTACAATTAGTTTGTCAATAGTCCACATTCAATTATTTGAACAGTTAGTCTACTACTAGTCTGCATTCAGTATATCTTTAGTCTATCATTAGTATACAAATAATAATAGTTAGAACATTATCATTGATATTTATAAAAAATCATAAAAAAATATTATTTTCACAATTTTCTCTTCACAGAATACTCATTTCATATTATTTTATCATTTTGAATTATTTTAAAGCATTTTTTTCAGCAGTAACTTAAACGGTAACAATTTAAGTGGTTCAGCGACAGAAAAAAATAAGGACTTACGTTAAAGTAAGATTTTATCAACTAAACATCGTTTTGATGACTATTAATGCACCAATTGTTTTAAGCGACTGACATCTTCATTACCGCTTGTTTTTTCTTTTGTGTAGCCTTAACGGAAATCCAGAGCTTCTTTGCAGCGTTACTTCATGCACTAAAAAGGGAAAAAAGAATGTCCTGATACTAGTTGTTGCATCGGTAGCTTCTGTGGTTGTTATCATAGTTATCTTGCGTCTCATTTTCGTTCTCCGGAAGAAGAAGGTGTCTTCGGGTTAGTTACAAGCATTTCACATATTTTTTCAAAACTTAGAATCTAAAGATTTGTTGATTTACCAAAGTCCATATAGCGCAGGTAGAGGACCTCGACAAAGTGTGGCGATAGGTTATCATCCTAATCAATCGGAACCATCATTCCTGACGAAAAACAGAAAGTTTACTTATGCTGAAGTTATGGCGATGACAAGTAACTTTCAAAGGGTTCTTGGCAAAGGAGGATTTGGAGTCGTTTATCATGGTCTTTTAAACGGTACCGAACAAGTGGCTGTTAAGTTACTTTCTCAAACATCAGCTCAAGGCTACAAGGAATTTAAGGCAGAGGTACTTGCCGTATAATTATATAAATATGCACATGTATCTTTTATTTTTAAAAGAATTAACACGCCGATAAATGGTTGCCGGTTAGGTTGAACTTCTCCAGAGAGTTCACCATATAAATTTGGTAAACCTTGCTGGATATTGTGATGAAGGAGAGCACTTAGGTCTTATCTATGAGTACATGCCTAATGGAGACCTGAAACAACATTTGTCAGGTAAATAACCACTTGAAATTAACATTATGTATGTAGCAATTTCAATAACTATGAACTTTAAAAGAATAACAACTACTTTCTCTGTGTCTAATTATTAGATGTTTTTGGTTTTACGCATACATTAAAAAAATGAGGACTTCCTCCGACTAAAAAGTGAGCTTCAGCCTTCAAATATGTTTTCTTCATCTACAATTAAAATGATAGAGGTAAACTAAGAAAAAAAAAATCATCTAAATTGACAACTGAATCCAACTTTTTCATTATTTTAATTACATACTCGTAATAGTGAGAACAGAAAGCCCATAATTAAAATGATAGAGGTACACTAAGAAGAAGAAAAGTAAAATAGAAAATGTTTACTTTTTCAAAAACGAAAAAAAAAATTACAAAGCATTTATTATTACGGAATGGAGGGAATATGAACTAAGCTTGTTCTTTGCTCATATATATGATTTATTTTTCCTTATGTCGAAATGCCTTCGAACAACTTGACACTGATGTTTGATTAGTACAGGGAAATTGGGTGGCTCTGTCATGAGCTGGAAAACTATACTAATAATAACTTTGGATGCCGCACAAGGTTCATCCTAAACTATTCCTAACCGTATTTACATTTGCCTCAAATTATGAATGGGCACTTTTAACATTGGATTGTTTGAAATTTAACCTTTAACATAACTAATATATCATGTAGGATTAGAGTATTTACACACAGGATTCAAACCAGCAATGGTTCACAGAGATGTCAAAAGTTCAAACATTCTATTGGACGAACATTTCCAAGCCAAACTTGCTGATTTCGGACTTTCAAGATCATTTCCAACCGACAATGAAACATATGTATCTACCGTTGTTGCCGGCACTCCTGGATATCTTGATCCCGAGTGAGTATTAAGAAATCTCATATGTTATCCTAAAATTTTCCGTCCCTTTTATTGTTAATGTCGGTATATGTGATTTTGTCCCATGTCTTGTTTTTTGCAGGTATTATCAAACCAATTGGCTGACTGAAAAAAGTGATGTCTATAGTTTTGGAATTGTACTACTAGAGATCATAGCAAACCGTCCTATAATAGATCACACTCGTGAAAAAACTCACATAGCAAATGGATTGGGCCTATGCTTCAAAAAGGAGATATTACAAATATAATTGATCCAAACCTCAAGGAAGATTATGACAGCGATTCTATCTGGAAGGCTCTTGACTTAGCCATGACTTGTTTTAGCCCTTCTTCTGCAACAAGACCAAACATGTCTCGTGTGGTAAATGACCTAAAAGATTGTCTTAAATATGAGAATTCAAGGAGAAAAGGGAGTGTGGGCATAGATGCAAAGATTTCTAATGAAGTGAGCATCAACTTTGGCACTGAGGTGATCCCGAAGGCACACTAGTTCCCTAAATGACAATATAGTCTATTGTGGTGTTTTCATGAATCCAATAATTTGTAATTTGTATCGAGGTAAATTTGATCTTTATAAATTTTCTAAC